TAACACACACCTTGCCAGGAGGAAGGACAGGTGGAATCTGGTCCCAGTCAGAACCCAGTCTGCCACCCAGACTCTAGGAAGGTGTCAGAGCTCTATTACAGTTCTCTCAAATCCAAATTCCCATTCCCATCTTTCAGAATAGCAAGGTAATGCCAATTTTTCTATGGGGTTTGAAGCAGAAGGGTCAAGTCTATGGTTGGGGTGAACATACGTGGTCACCAAGGCCTGCCTGAACAGTCAGCAGGGAGAAGGGCAGGCTGCCAGTCAGTAGAGGGAGAATGTGTCACAGCAGTAATGAGAAGGGAGGTAAGAACCCAGAAGTAAGAAAGGAACAGCAATTAGAATGATGTAACTGGAAAAGGAAGGCAGATGGACGCGAGAAACAAATAGGGTTTTGTATTAGTCAGTTTTCACTGCTATGAAGAACTACCTGAGACTGGGTAATGTATGAAGAGGTTTAATTGACTCACAGCTCCACATTACTGGGGAGGCCTCAGCAAACTTACAATCATGGCAGAAGGCAAAGGAAAGGTAGACACCTTCTTCTCAGGGCAGCAGGACGGAGTGAGTGCCAGCAGGGGAAATGCCAGATACTAAAAAAAACCATCGGATCTCATGAGACTCACTATCATGAGAACTGCACAGGGGAAGCCGCCCCCATGATCCAGTTACCTCCCCCTGGTTTCTCCCTTGGCACTTAAAGATTATGGGGGTTATGGGAATTACAATTCAAGATGAAATTTTGGGTGGGGACACAGCCAGACTACATCAGGTTCTGAAGGCACAGAGTCTCAAAGGCCAGCTGTGCCAACTGCTTCCATGGAGTCAGTGGCCCAGCACTGGTGGACCGGCCCCAGGAGGTCTTCAGGAACCTGCCCTACTCCTTTGGGGATCATGAAATCATGGTGTCTGATGGCAGATGATGAGGATTCATCAAAGATTCTTAAACAGTGTTTGAAAAGAAGCCTCATCATTCCAGGCTTCTGGTGACTCTTGAGAGCAGTGAGCAGGAGCCTGGATGTCCACAGTTCTAAATGTGAAAACCTAGGTGACTTCATTAGAGAAATGCCACCCCAAGCTCCCACCTCTGCCTGCGAGGCACATGGAGCATTTTTCTGCCCCCAGGCCATCCCGCTGGAATGGGGCAGTTTCTGAATCTTCCCAGAGATGGTGCAGAGGCAGGCAGCTTTGGGAAAGCTACACCAGTGATCTGAAAGTGCTCTTGTGCCCGGGGCAGCCTCTACCTTAGGTTGGAAAGCAGGAGGGGACACAGAATGCGTTCTTGCCTTCCCACTAGAATATGTCTAGGGCTATGTCTGCTTCATGACTTTCCAATTGGCTGATGACACTTTCTGGATGGTCATCTAGGGATCATGGGGTGGGGGCACAGAGACCTGTACCATCCACCCCCTCCAGTTCCTATTCCCCGATATATCTGAAAATCTCAGAGACTTACCAACCACATGCCCAACTGTTGGAGACCTGAAGTCCAGGGCATGGGCACAGGAGCTTGCATCTTGGGTGCTCTGACTTCCAGCACCTGCCACTCAACACATGAATGAGTGAGAATGCGCTGCTTTGAGAGTGAAGCAGCCTTCCCATGTCCCCCCCCCACAGAAAGAGTAACACTGCCTTTCATTTCCCCATGACCCATTCATTCATTCCACAAAGGTTTCCAGAAGGCCAGGACTGTGCTAAACACGGGGATTTTGTGAAGAACAGGACAAAAAGAGCTTTGCCTTCATAAGGTTTATGATCCATCATGACTGGCAAGAAACAAGTAAACAAAGAAATGAGTACAGAATGACCTATTTAGATAATGACGTCTGCCTTCTGACTTCTTCTGAAGTGTAATCTTCAACTGGCCAACCTAATGGCGTAATTACATCATGGAGAGTGCAGTGAATTTCTGGGAGTCCTCTGATTCGGTCTAGGCTCGCTGTTCCTTTTGCAATACTTTCATCTCCTTCCTGTTGGGGCCAATAGATGTACCAAGGGTAGTGTTATCATTTTTCTATGCAATCAAGCACTGCTGCCAAATACAACTTGACCTCTGCTCATTCGTGTCCCCTAAATATCACAGAAGCAATGTGACATTCTAAGATGAGAGACGCATCATGCCTTGGAGTTAGGCACAACCAGCTGCCCCCAGCTCTGTCACCATGTGAGCTTAGAAGGGAGACTTTTTTTTCCCCCAAGTTTTGAGATGTTAATGGAGATCACTGTGGCATCTGTACAAGGATTTTATCTTTATAGAATGAGATGCGTTAGGATCATGAAGAAATTTTGCCCAGCTCCTGGCACCCCAGTCACATTGTGATGAATCTTGGCTCCCTGTAGACATGGTGAATGACATGGTAAGCCTGGAGGCGGGCTCAACCCAGGGTTTCTTAAAGTGTGGTCCATGAACCACCTACATCAGGACCTCCGGACGTATTTGTAAACTGTAAGCCTGGAGTATTTGTAAATTCGCAGCTTCCTGTGTCCAGCAGACCCCCGGAGTGCAGCCCAAGAATCTGCATGTTTCACAGGCACTGCCTCTGCTCCAGCCCCACCACCAGGTGATTCTTAGGAGCCTTAAAGTTTGAGAGACTTGCTGGCCTTGATTGGTGAGCCAGGCTTTTGTTACCCTGCGGTTGCCAATAAATCACTTTTTAATGGTCAACTTTAAGCAAAAGAGCTTTCACAGGTGTAAAGAGCCACCTGACCCACAGCCTCCTCACCAAAGTACTTCCTATGGGGGAAGGGAGACTTTGGGGACCTTAGCCTTCCTCTGCCCTGGCTAAATCCCCTCCACTCAGCACCTAAGGGCCACCCAAAGGAATTACTCACCCTATTTCAGCGGGATGGCAAGACCCAGCTAATGTTGTTTCTGGACATACTGGTATGTCAGGAGGGTGGATCTGCTAGGAGCTTGCTTATAGGAGGACCCAAGGAGCCTCAGTGGGCAGAGCTCACCCTAAGGAAAACATGTCAAGCTCATAAACTGGGTTCATGGGTGACAATGGCAAGGCTGGATGAAAAGGAGATTCTGGCTCTGCTACTCAGAGCAATGTCCAACTGTCTGGACTCATGCCCCTTCAGTGAGTGGCTGGAATAAAAGATGAATAAAAATGGAGCGAGCTGTCACTGGGGCATCACTCATTGCTCATTGGTGTGGCACTCTCTGTAGTCACTGGCAGCAACACCCTGGACCACACACCCAGGTCCTCACCGCCTTGTGCTGGCAGCTTCAGGGTAAACACTGGTGGGCAGTGGCAGGAAAGTGGGCTCCTCTGGTGGGTGACCTTTTGCCCCTCTGTGGGCTCTGGCAAACCCATTGCCATTATGGGGTTCTGTAGCATCAGAAGAGAGGCTGTGCATTAAAGCCAGGGAGAACACCGGGTGCCATAGAAGATGAACTTGGGAAGCACATGAGTCAGCCCCCGAGGACCACCTCCTGGAATACTAGGGAGGAATATGAGAAGGGTTGGGAATCCCCACAGTATGCGATAGAGTCACACAAATGTGAATTTGTGAGTTGATGTGACTATCTTCTTACCCCCAGGCTGGTGTGGTTTTGGGAAGATGGATGACATCAGCAAATGTTCTGAGGTTGGGAAACAGGATTAGTCACCCGGCCCAAGAGGATGAATTCCCTAGTTTCTGTCTCCTTGGTGACATCACTGCTCCAAAGCATAGCATAAGATGGTGCCAGATAAAAAGTTCTATTTCTAGAGGTCTCATAAAAGTGCCATTATTTTGTTGACGGAGTAAGAGGTCAAGGTCACTGTATTTCCCAGTAGCTGCCCTGCTCCACTCCACATATGGAATGCTCTTCCACAGCAGCGGGCAGGCAGGACTGTCCTCCAGGGAGAAGAACTCCTAGCGGCAAGCAGCATACATGGCTCAGTGTTTTACTTTTATCAGAATCCTATCTTTAGTAACCAACACTAGCTTTCAGATTGAATTTTTCAAGAGCATGTGGCCAACTGTGTTTGTGTTCTTCCACAGTTTAGGGTATGGGGTCAGAATAGGGTTTGAAAAGCACCCCAGGGAATATTCTTTCGTGTACTAAGCAAAGGCTTGGCCAGTGTTCTGAAGAGCCGAAACCCTGCGAATGGATTTGATGAGTTCATTAGCATCGAGTGAGATGACAGTTTTGGCTTGCTTCTGAATGACAGGTTTTTTCAAAAGCTTGCGAGGTGAACATGGAGAAGATGCGTCTCCAGTGCCATGGGGGCACCAGTTTGTGCTTCCAGAATCAAATCACTATCTCACTTAGCCTTGCTTGTAACCAATTACAGGAGCTATTTGGGAGCTGGCCAGGGTCAGAAATGGAGTCTTTGAAGGAAGGGGAAATCAAGAGAGATCAGGATAACTTTAGCTCTACCATGAAGCATAACCCACTCCTCAGCCAAACCACCAGTTTTAGCCTGGGGATATGAGATAGGCAGGAGGGTGGGAGATGATGGCAGAAAGCAGATCGGATCACGGCCCTTGTGAGGGTTTTGGTCAACTTTACATATACAGGACGATAAGTAAGCATGGCAAAGAATGGCTAAGCCCCCTGCCATCCTCCACTGAGAAACCTTGGCCAGGTGAGCAAAGTATGCTTCTATCCGAGTAAACTGGCTGGCCCAAGCCCCCTGGAGCGAAATCTCCACAAAACACCAAAGAAACAATCCATGTGCGCTGAGATGACTTCATTCATCCCTTTCCCTTTTTCGACTCCCTCTTCCTCACTCTCCCCACACATCATCCCAACAGGAGGAAGGGAAAGGACTGCTTAAGTATCCAGGGTTCTCTCCAGCCAGAGCTGCCACGGAAAGCCAGCTGGCAAACAATGTGGCCTAAACAAGAGTCATTTTTTCATACAGGGAGTTTTCTCTGAGTACGGTTTGAAAACTAAGGCCACTTGGAAATATGAAGGGCATGTTTTGTATTTCCCAGAATGTGTGTATGGGGACGGTGTCTCATTCTTCTTCGCTTAGGGTGCTTTCTGCTGCTTCCTCCTACAGGAATGTCCTTCGTGAGTCTTGCTTTTCCTCCTGTCTGCTGGCAGAGAGAGGATGGTGGCGCGGCCAACACACGTTTGTGACTGAAGACCATGGTGATTTTGTAGCATCCCGAGTATTTCACATCCAGGCGGAGGCTCCACCCTGGGCGCTGCTCCTTGGGTCTCCTTTTCTAGAGAGAGATGAAGACCTCGGCGAGGGGCATGTTCTTGTGGGGAGGTCATCGCTGCTGGGAAGGAGAGGACACGCTTGTTGTCTAGTAAAGGCCTTGATGACACCCCATATTAAATTCAGGGAATGAACCTCTTTACTACAAAGTGCTCCATGTCAGGCAAGGTAGGAGAGAAGTAAGGAAGCGTGGGGTCTAGTGGGACAGACAGACCCGGGCCAGCTCTCCCAGATGCATCTAATGAGGTGAAAGCATCCACCCAGAGTGAGACTTGAGGGGGGACTGTACATTACACATCCTTTCCCGTTATTGGATTTACATTTCTGACCTTAGGGAATACTGAAGTCAGAAATTTTTAAATTCTGACTTTCCAGATCCATTCCAAAGTTGATTCTGCATAACAGTTTGTATTATTTTTTCACCCCTTGTAGCCCCGGGCTCAAAATGCCCCCTTAACATTCCTAAGTAGAAGAAACTAAACATCTAAATGACCAAATCACGACACTGCCTCCTCCTCTTTCCAAACCTGTGCAGCCCTATGCTCCTTAGTTTTGTATTTCCAAAGGTTTGTTTTTGACTCACCTTTCCTGCGTTCCTTTCTCTCACCTGTGCATCATTTGGAAAACACAAAAGTGCTGCTCCTGAGGTTTTGCACCCTCTCCCTGTAGCCACTCACCAGCAAGCCCACTCTGCCATGGCAGGGCCTGAAGCCTGTCATTCAGGAACTATGTGATGGCACTCAGAATCTTAGAAGCAAGAACAGCAGATTTGGGGTGCCTGCATTTTTTATGGGATACTGATCTGGCCAGCCTTTCTTTCCCATAGGAATGGAGAAAATGGTGGCAGAGATAGTCCAAATGAGCCGACGAGCTCCAAAGTGAATTGTGTTTGCCTTTGAAATGGGGTCTCAGATTTGCACTCATTCCTTCTGCACAGTAGCACGACAGTCATCCAGCAGTGGCAGTGGTATCGAGGGTGTGTGTGTGCGCTGCCTCTGCGTGGAGCAGGAAGGCAGGCTAGAAATGTATCTGGATGGCTGAGGGGTATGGCCACAGACAGACTGCTGGAATCCTTGGTGTGGGACGGTGACTCAATGGCATGTTATCACATATCAGCAGACGAAGAGAGCTTTCTTCTTGCTCCCAGGCCTCCTCTTGACTAGAGAATGCATTTCCGCTGCTGGTTGCTTCAAGGTAAGTCTGAGCAAAAGCCCCTTCGCTATGACGAGGGAGACACAGGAGTCTGTAACACCCTTATAAAGGGCTCCTCAGGGACCAAGATCTAGAAAGCAGCGTACAGAAAGGAAAGCCAATGGTTGTTTCCCCAGTTCTGCCCCCATCCGAGGATCCTCTTATTTTATAAACTGTTGCCCCGGTTCTTCCAGTCACTTTCATAAATCTTTGCAAGTACATGGATACCAGAAAAAAATGTGTCTGCTATTATCCTAAACCACCCTGCATGGCCAACCTGACCACAGGCAAGGCAAACAGCGAGGGAAATGCTCTCTTCACTCCATCAGTTCTCAGGCAACCACGGATATTAGCAGCATGCACTGCATGAAGTGTACGGGCAGGCAGGGCCTCAGTGCTATGGTGTGAAAAAAATCAGAGATTTCAGTAAACGTAAGACCAACCCCCATGACATTTGTTATTCAGCAGAGTAGTTAAGAGTTCTGAAACCAAACTGCCTGGGTCCAAATCCCAGCTCTGGCACTTATTAGCTGTGTGGTCTTGCGAGAGTTACTTAGATTCTCTGTGCCTCAGTTTCCTCAGCTGTAAAAAGAGAATATCAACCATAATATCTACCTTGTAGGATTGTTGGAAGGATTAAATGAGTTAAAAGAAACTTAGTACAGTGTGTGGTACTTAGCAAGGACTACATAAAAGTTTGTTACAAAAAAAAATTATGTCATAGCACACACGGGGGGGGCACATTTACTCAGCACTGTTGGCTTCATGACGAAACAACTGAAAAGTCATCAGACTGCTCCATACTTGCAAGGAATAGAGTCCACACTCACGAGGATCCAAACCCTGCATTTTGAAATCTAATGGTACTAGTGAAACTGCTGTTAGGCCACTAAGTGCTAAGATGTTAAGACTGGGCTTCCATCGTGCCTGTGACATATTTGTCGTCTTTTCCACCAATCTTCTCAGTGAGTGAAAGAACCTCAGGGTCCAAGGCTCATCTAATCACACAGCAAAGAATAATTGTCAATACGATTTGTGTTGTGAGTCAAGCCTTCCTTGGTAGACAGGAGCAGTAAACCCTGAACAGAAGGGGCAAGCGAAAGAGAAGCGAGGAAAGTCTTTGTATTGTTTTCCCTTTCTGTTCCTTGCTGGGCCAAAATGAAACCCCGGGGCAACGCTGGGAGCCTCTGTGGCCTCCCAAGGCTGCCTCTGGTTTTGGACTTGAACTCAAGTGGTCTGTGAAGCCTGCGGCCATCGCTGCACAGAGCTCGTGGGTCTTGTACTTTGGGGATCCACAGGCATGTCTACAAGTTTTTAGGGGATCCCAACTATCTCAGTTCTGGCCAGACCTCCTGAAGATGCTCAAATCCTCCCCCAGCCCACCCCTGATCTGTGCAGGCTTCAGGGAGCCAGATATGGATTCTAGGGAGAAACCTGTGTTTCCTGACGTTCCACTGCAATTTGCAGAGTTTAACAGGCTGTGGGCTAACAAATATTTTGAAAGGCCTTGGAACACCCAGCATCCTCCCACCTTGCTCCAAGCAAAATGCAATGTGCCTTCCATCTCATCTTCGGCATCTCCCCAGCCCTTCTCAGCATGAGCTGAAAGGAACGCTTCATTGACTGGTCAATAAGTCATGTTTATCGAACTGACAGTGTGTGATGTAGGGGTGTGCGAGCTGCAGAGAAAGATGGGTGAGCAGGGAAAAAAACAACCCAGTCAAATGTTAGGATTTATGTATAAAGAAAAAGGCTCTCCACTTCTCCCTCCCCAGCCTGGACATTTGCCAACCCTCCTTTCCCAAAAGCTCCACAAGGAAATGGGCATCATACCCTGAACTCAGAAGCCCTTTCTTTATGTGGTGCTGACCTCTAGAGGCTTCTAATTAAAAAGCATCCCAAAGGGCCAACTTAATTTTACTGCTGGTTTTTACACTGAACATTTATTGCCATATTTCCCTACAAAATAAGGATAAAATATTTGTTACTTTAAATGATCCCTTAAAAAATGCCTACCTTGTTCCTTGACTGCCTAATTAAAACTTGCCCAGATCATTACAAGTGTCATTGTTTACTCCAAAAAGGAAAAAAGGAGGGTCAGAGACAGGGAAAGTACTTCGAATTTTTTTGCCTATGGTGGCCCTAAGAGGGAAGCATAGTGCCAGCTTTTTCAGGATGCATTTCTTGCGTTTCCAAAGGGCCAAGTCTGCTAAATAGAGACAGGAATGTTCATTCACTCCGATTTGGCAGGGCACCGGCCAACGCCACCCCGACAGACACTCGGGTACACGGACACCAAGTCCTCCTAGTCCAGCCCCGGTGTGCGGTCTAAATGCTGGGTGGTGGGTCTGGTTTTATTTTGTTGTCCTTCAACCCACACCTGTACACAATGAACTCTAGGACAATGGAGGATCCCACTCGGCCCAACTTCACTATGGAAACAAGGCTAATTTCTAAAGGGAGTGAGACTGTTGATTACATCCCTAAGCTAAACACCCCAATTTCATTTTGTTGTAGTTCTGACTCCTTATTACTTTCACGAAGAGAAGGAAGGTGTGGGAAGGCAGAAGAAACGTGCAGGGACATAAGCATTCGGACTAACACACAGCCACAGTATCAGCTGGCGTCTTCAATTCCAAAAGGGATCCTAGGGAAAAGGGCTTCAGAATCCCAGGACAGCTTTGCCAATCCTGGCCGCCCCACCCTGGTTTTGTGAGTGTTTCCATAACTGTGTTTCTTGTCCTCCCTACTGACTCCTGACTCCCCTAGACAAGTCAGGGCTAGTGCCCAAAGGGAACTCAGGGACAAGTCCCCCACTCTTTATTTTTACAGATGAGGAAACAAAGCCGGAAATGGGGTGGGGTGGGGAAGGGACATGCCTAGGGCCACAGTCAGCCCAGGAGGAGTCTGGGCTAGAACCTCTTGCCCTCGGCCACTGATTTCAGAATGATTACGAGGGGGAAACGTGGGTATTTTTAACACCAGTCCCTGCACTTAAAGGAGCCAACCTGCATTTTATGAACTCTATCTCTGAGACGGATAGAATAACTGTAACAAAGGCAGTCCATCAGTAAGGCTTCGCCTGCCCCGCTGCTGCACCACTACCTTAGCCGAGCGGGATTGGAAATGCTGACACACAGCTCACCACTTGAGTACAATCTCTAACAGCGGCATCGAAAACAAAGGACCACACACTATCTAACATACACACAAGCCTTTATGCTGTGCCTGTGAAGCCAATCTCAAATCTAATCGAATCTAATGGGTCTCTCTATGGAGACCCATTCATTTGGAGAAAGAAACTTGCTCTTAATCAAATAACAGAACTTACCATCAACTTCCAGATAAGTTATTTAAATGCCATGTTTAGTGAATAAATAACCAGGAGGAAGGTGGTGGAGACATGGTGTCATGTCATAGAATGACCACAGAATACAGATTTCTAATTGATGCCACAAAGAATTCCTAAGTAGGCTAGAAAAAAAATAGGATTCTCAAACACAAAACTAAAGTATTGGTTCAAAGAAGAAAATTACTAACTACCAGTTATAGCATCAGAATAGACATATGAATGCATCACACAGAAATGATTAATCTTTGAACAATGGCAGTGTTTCATGTCACCAGCTCCTCCCTCTCTTCCCCCAGCCTCCTCACACACAGCAACCACAGAGCGAGCTGCCGGTCCTTTACTCCTTGTTCTTCATTTATAAGCCACATTAGGTGTCCTTTAGGACCAAACATTGTGGAGGCAGAAAAAAAAGAGGCAAACACCACCAGAGTTTGAAAGGCTCTTTAATAGCAAGCGAATGGTAATTACATGGTCGGATGAGGTCCTCAATCTCAGGGGAGGGAGGAGGGAGCAGAGGTGGACAGGGTGCAGTACAGGATTTACACTGTTTGAAGCATCTAACGAAGGGCAACAGTTTTTGGCAACCCATTTCACAGTTTTGTAATTTACAAGAGATTTCTTTGAAAGGAAATAGGAAGACTTCTTAAAGAAAGCACACATACCCTACCGGCAACACTTCTTGCCTTAAAAAAAAAAAAAAAAGAAAGAAACAACCAAAAAACAAAAGCTCAACAACTATTCCTTGCTTTTGCTTCTTGTGTAGATGACTAAATTTTGCTCTCATGCTCAAATTAAGACTGGACCATGGATAGTGAAGATCTGCCCTAGCATTGAAGATTGACTTCCTCCTCTTCAGAGCTGACATTTGTACCGAGCACTGCTCTTATCTTTATCTGCCTAGGTATCAGAAGGGGCTTAGTAAAAAATGAAACTCGAGAAACAAAACAAAACAGAAAAACAGGAAAAGGCAGTTTACAAAGAACAGACTGTCAGCTTTCTCTCTGGTGCCGAACAACTTGAATACAGCTCTAAGCAAATTAAAACATTTCTTTTTATGTGGCCTGGCATATACTTTTAATCGCTTGTGCCTATTCAGCCTTACAGTGCTTTAAATGGGGTTTCTAACATGAAATGCTCATGGGTACTATATTTTTGTAATCCAGATTTAAATAAAAATATAAAAGGCAACATATTATTTAACAATTTGCCCGCTAAGCAGGAGCTATAGATATTTTACCATGGACACCCATCGCCATGGACACCACAGGCTACCAGCATTCTGGCAGGTTTCAGAACTACTCTCCATAAAATCTAAAAGACTTCAGCTTCTTGTGTCATACCTGTTATCACTAAACTGGGAGAAGTGACTGGGTCTTTATGAAAGAGGATCAGTTTTTAATTCAAAGAAATTTTAGGCTTCTCCGAAGACTGGGTGATCGGCAATGGCATCTCTTTGGAGCTAACACCCACTGCAGGGGAGAGGGGTCTGTGATCGCTTGAGCATTAATTGTGCTCTTTCTACAACCCTGAAGCACGGTGAGGAGGTGGGCCCTGCCCTCTGGCCTGAGGGGGCACTCCTGCTTCCTCCCTGCTGCCAAGGAGACCCAAGTTTGCTTTGTGATTTACCCGCCAGATGCCTGGAGCCCCTCTCAGATCTGCCTGCGCTTGGGAAAGACAGGTTTCTCAGGCTGGCAGCTGGTTTTACTGAAGGAAAGATACCCACCAGATGAGCAGGGTCCCTGTTGGTCTCCTTGGCTGGGGGGCACCTTTACAGTGGCAAAGCCATGCCAACACAAGGCATTGCCTCTCAACATACAGTCAGTTCCTTCGAGGAAAGCAGGCCCCCAGTGAGAGAGCCGTGAAAATGAAAACAGTTTTCCTGGGGCTCAGGTGGTAACTGTCAGACCCCAACTCTCCCATTTTCCTTCATTCATCTCCTCCCACCCCAAGTTAAGTCCCACCTATTCCTTCATGCCTCTCTGTGGGAAATCAGATCTGTTCATACCAGTTTCCCAACTTGTGAATTTTAACATGCAAAGCCTATTCCTAAAATATAAATTCCAGTGACACTTGGGACCACAGCTCCCCTAGGTCCATATACATTGTGCTCTTAAGAAACAGAAACAATATTCAAAAATATATTGTGCTAGAGACGGTTTCTGTTTATACATGAAAAATGACAGCAACTATAAAGGAGAGAAGTTTTCGTGAAGTACACTGGAAACCTAATTCTGGCACCAGGACACAAGGAGGATCCCTACATAAGAGAATTTTCACACTCTGCTTGTTGGAAAACAAATTGCATCATGTGCTGCTTTGGGCTTGGGAGACAGGAATGGACACCTGAGTGCAGGTGAATCCACAGTGGTGACAGGCACTGCACGGGGCCTCACCTCCCTCCCTGGCTCCGTACTTCACTCTGATTCCTTGACGTCTGCTCGACATGGTGATCAGGCTGAGGAAACCAGGCAGCCATAACAAACAAAGTCTCTAGGATTCACTCAAACCCAGGATCACGGTTTTGTAATGTTATCAAGGCATGATTTCGGATTTCAGAGCTGGCCCAGTGATCAGCAAGCAATCAAGCATTCCTCATTCTCTCTCTTTCTCTCTCTCACATACACACACACACACACACACTTTCTCTCTCTCTTTACTTTCACTGTCACTTTCTCTCTACTGGATAACATGGCAAAAAGTACTGGTACTCATCTTTCACTTTCTTCCAGCTGTTCTTCCTACACATCTTCCGCTCTCGGGTAAGATAAACACACACCACTTCCAAAGCCCCAGTCTGCCATGACACAAAGAAAAGCCATGTCTCCACAGGCAGAGCATATACAGCTGAGATAAGTCCTCTGGGGCCTCACCTTTCCCTTTCCTTTAAGGAAGAGAATTTCATCAGCCCCATGAGATCGAGCCCTCAGGGGTTTGGGCACTCACAGACCAACATGTTCTAAGGTAGTGCGGGGGTCAGCATCCTAAAGGCAGCACCTGGGCAAGATCCCGCATGTATTTTCTTCTCGAATCCCTAAAAGTTTCCTTGACTGTTGCTCCTTACTCACACACACACATAAGGCAGGCACAGAAGGGCAGTGTTTACAGCTGGAAGGGCGAACGCCCCTTGTTCACGATCAGTTAACTGACTTGTCAAGGTCACACAATCCTTTGCCGACTTGGAACTAGAACCCAGGTGTCTCTCCTGCGTCCAAGGTCAACACTCCTCCCACACCGCTGCCACCTCCTGGTGAGTATACGTGTAAGTCTGTGAAGGGTCAGGGGCATGTTTCACCATGGAACCATTTCCATAACAGAAACCACAGGCTGCCAGGCTCACTGACTGCAGCTTTGCACCATGCACAGCCCTGCTTAGAGCAGCCACAGCTCAGGAAGAAGTGAGTGTGTGGGCAAGTGTGTGAGCGCAAGAAGGGATGTGTACACATTCAGAAAAAGGAAGTTTTAGGGGAAACAATTCGATCTGCTAATGCTGTTTGGGATTTTGCAATGGAAATTAAGTAACATACGGACATGTTCTCTGTCTCCTACCCCTGGTGCAAAACAAAGCCCAGAATTCTCATCAGCCCACAGAATGGCTGAGTCTATCTCCACTCAATTTTTATAAACAGAGAACATTAACATGATAATACCAACATGTATTTGGTCAAAGTCTAAACACTTTTTTGATAAAATACATTTTATGTTAATGTCCATTCCATTTCCAAACATATGTAAATTTGGATTTTAAGCTTCAATGTATAAAATTTCAGTTTACCTTCCAATGGAGCAAGCTAGTGAAGCTTCCTCATTTCACTTGCAGAAGTCATTCTTGTGGGCTTACTGCATTAAAATGGAGGTTACAAAACCTGGGCGACATCTATGTAATATACAGCTCACAATCACCTTTGCTCATGAATGGAGCCAATCAGAACACAGGCAGGGCTGCAAAGGGCAGAATATGCTCACCCCAATGGAAGAAACACTAAGTTGTGTTTTACTAATAGGCTACTCAGAAGGAAATTCATTTTACTTGAAATTAACCTTTAGTATGACTTTTCAAGAAAAGAACAGAAAGTGGGTACTGAAGCACAGATGGAAACCACTGTACTATTATTTTACCCGATGACTTAAAACTGGAGTACGCTGTTTTACCACGAGCAGCCGAACTCCTCACAGCACCAATCAATTAAACAGAGAATGTCGAGACAATCAGGTTTACACCGACATGCCTGGAAGATATACAAGACTCCCATAAGTTCTGTGGCCTCTGCTGCTACTGCTTGTTTTTAATTCAAAACTTTGACAACCTAACAGGCACATGTGTGACTGTTTAAACGTACCCACCCCAGATGTTAGGTTTAATCTAGTGTTGTAGAGGAGGCATTCCACATCCTAAGTTACCAGAACCAGGGATGCAGAAGGGTCCAAGAATAATTCCATGTTAGCATTACAAAGGATTTCCCCAGTAAGTAATTGTTGGCGAAATGATAACAGCAGTATTTCCAGTTATTACAGAAGTTGTTTCTGTGAGTTGTCTGAGTATCTTGATTATTAAAACGTCCCCTTTTAACCAAGCTAACCCACGATTAAAAGATTCCTACCTTCATGTCCCTTTACAAATACACCACAATTAAGTCCCTCGAGATATGTGATTAAATTTTTAAATAAATTACACAATGGAATCCTTTTCTTGGCTTTTTTTTTTTTTTTTTAAATAAAAGACTTAAAAAGTAAAGAAGGATTCTATTATATTTGTAAGAACTTTTAATCCTGGTTTACTTTTCTATCAAATTTAACTATGGCTTCAAAGTTTAAGTGGCACTTGGATTCTGGATGTTTTCATGATTTAACAAGTGGCCATCTCATTAGAAAGAGAGAAGGTAAAATGTTTCATTTTATACGTGGGACGGCTTATAAACAGCTTTAAAAATCAATAAATTATATCTTTCACCCTATCTATATTTTCCACTATAGACTTTTAAAGTGGCTTTGGAATTAGCATGTTTTGAAGCAATCGAACAAGCAAGTAACATTTACACCTAACCACGAACCAGTCGCTACATACCCAGGTAACTTAGTAATGGCAAAACACTTAAAGGCTTCTGGGCCTCTCTTACCCTCTTACTCCAAAGCTAAGTGATTATCCTTTCCTGCCCTTGTATTTGCACTTGTGCAGTTTAATGACTAGATATTAAAATTCATGCTTTATAAGCGAAACCTTTCACTTACGGACACTTAAAAAGTACATAAAAAGTGCAGACTGCATTTCTTCTCTGCCATGCTTTCCCTCAGTAAGGTCACCTGTGAGGACTCAAAACATATCCTTAATACATTCAGAGTTCTCTACATTCGAGTCAGCGAATGTTAATTCTCCAACATAAACTCAAGAGAATAGTTAGCCACAAAATGGACTCTAAATTCAAAATGGCAAAGGCTACCAAGACAACTCCATAGAAACCCCACTGAAGCGGGAGTGAAATTCAGGTCACTTCTGAGCAAAGCTCATCACAGATATTTTGTGGTCGTTAAAAAGGTATTTCATTTTAATTTGGATGCTGGGAGCCAGACGTCCTATTTCGAAGTGCTAATGCAAAATGCTAACCCAGGAGGGACAGTGACCCCGCCTAGGTTACCGTGGGGCTCACTCTGCTTCTCAGGGGAGCCCCCAGATTTACTGCTGGCTGATCCCCATCTGGGGGTGGTCTGCCTCTGGCTCCTCTTCTTCCACGTCAGCACTGTACTCTTCAAACGCATCGTCATCTGCATCCGGAAGCCCCAGTAACTACAGGGAGAGAACAAGAGAAAAGCAGCTGTGAGCACCAAATGGACCACAGGCAGGAAGACAACCAAAGGCATCAGATCCACAGTAAACAGCACTTAACTCAGCAGCTGCAGACTTCCCCATCAACCACCCCTATAATGATTTTCATAAACTTGTTAGACAGAAATGTCAATCCTTCAATGGATGAGTGCCCAAAGAGCTAGGTTTTACTGGGGAGCCTGGACAGTCTCTATTTTTAAGTATCAAAATGTGGCACCACATATGCACAGAGAGCTAGCTATGTGCCCGCACACACATCTGGGATGTCAGCAGTAGTATGAAATGAACTGTGCTGACTGTCCCACCAAGATGTCAAAAACTGATTCTGTATTTTCTGTCCTAAAACCACATGGTGCTATTATTCATTGGTGCTATTATTTGTAACACATTTCTAAAAATGTAGAGACAACTAAAATGTTCAACAGCAAAATGGTTATGGTGTTACTGAAATGGAATCTTATATATCCACTCAAAATGGCATTTTTGAATGACGTGACATAAAAAAGATGCACATAAGTGTAAAAAGAGCATGACAAAACAGCACTTTTATTATGATACAGAGTTTTTCTTGTTTGTTTGTTTTGAGACGGAGTCTCGCTCTGTTGCCAGGTTGGAGTGCAGTGGCGCAATCTCAGCTCACCACAATCTCTAATTCCAGGGTTTAAGCAATTCTCCTGCCTCAGCCTCTTGAGTAGCTGGGACTACATGCGCATACCACCACGCCCAGCTAATTTTTGTATTTTTAGCAGAGATAGGGTTTCACCATGTTGGCCAGGGTGGTCTCGATCTCCTGACCTCGTGATCTGCCTGCCTCAGCCTCCCAAAATGTTGGGATTACAGGCATGAGCCACAACACCCGGCCCAGAGTTTCTTTATATATGTGTGTGTGTATATATATTTACATATTTTTAATAGAGACAGGGTCTCACTATGTTGCCCAAGCTGGTCTCCAACACCTGGACTCAAGCAATCCTCCTGCCCTGGCCTCCCAAAGTGCTGGGATTATAAGCATGAGCCACCACACCTGATCCAGAGTTCTTAAAATTTATACACATATGCATAGAAAAAAGACTTCAGTAAAATACACTCAAATTTTAAGCCTTTTTTTTTTTAAAGATTGTGAGATTATGGGTAATTTTTTCCTTTTTATCTTTTTGCATTTTCCAATTGCTGTATAATTATGTGGGAAGTTCAAAATAAACATTTTTTTTTTTAAAGCACTGGCTGGTCTTTGGTTAGA